CTGGTTTATTCACACCCTTTCCATTAATAAGTGTTATCATTTTATGATATTTATTTCCCAAGTCTGTAATGACATTCAACAACTTTTTCTGTATTTATTTGTCATATATTTATTTTCCCTAATGAAATATATATGTCTTGTACAGAAAGTTTTGGATACTTTAAAAACTCAGTTTTGTTATGTAAACAAGTTTTGGTTTTAATCCCAAGTGTGGGATATGGAGCTGCTTTTAGTTTGTCCACAGGTGATAGCAGTCTACTGTGACTCAGAGAGGGGCACAGTCTTTGTCAGCTGGAGATAGTTTAACTCTGAGGTCTCTAAGAAGGTACAAATACCAGAGCCAAGAGAAACAGAAAAAAAAAAAAATTCTGAGAAAGAATGTTGCTGCTCCCCATGCTGTTGCTGGTTCATCCTTCTTCTGTGTTTGTAGTTGCTGGTTTGCTGGGCTACCTGATATCCTGTTGGCTGATACTGGCTTTGCCCCAAAGAACCCCATAACCCTAACCAACCAGAAGTATCCAAAGAGAACTCTGCACCATCTCCCCACTAACCTTTCTCTCCTACCTAGTGTTGGGGTGCTGGAAAATATTAGGAGGAATAAGGGGTGGAGAAGGGAGGTAGATGCAGGAGAAACCAATATGCCTACAATGTCTTTTGCCCACTTTTTAGTTATTTTGTTAATTCAGAGTTTAAGAGTTTCTTTTCTTTTTTATTATTATTATTATTTTATTATTAATTACACTTTATTCATTTTGTATCCCTCCATAAGCTCCTCCCTCCTCCCCTCCTGATCCCAACCTCCCTCCCCTTTCTGCATGCATGCCACTCCCCAAGTCCACTGATAGGGGAGGTTCTCCTCTCCTTTCTGATCTTAGTCTATCAGTTCTCATCAAAAGTGGCTGCATTGTCCTCTACTGTGGCCTGGTAAGGCTGCTCCCCCCTCAGGGAGAGGTGTTTATGTCAGAGGCAGTCCCTCTTCCCATTACTATGTAACCCACTTAGACACTGAACTGCCATGGGCTACATCTGTGCAGGGGTTCTAGGTTATCTCCACGAATAGTCCTTGGTTGGAGTATGAGTCTCTGGGAAGTTCCCTGTGTTCAAATTATCTTGTTCTGTTGCTCTCCTTGTGGAGTTCCCATCCCCTCCAGCTCTTACTATTTCCCACTTCTTACATAAAATTCCATTCACTCTGCCCATCAGTTGGCCAGCAGGCTCAGCATCTGCTTTGACAGTCTATACTGCAGAGGCTTTCAGAGGTCCTCTGTGGCAGGTTCCAAGGTTGTTTCCTGTTTTCTTCTGGCTTTCAGAGGCCCTCTGTAGCAGGTTCCGAGGTTGTTTCCTATTTTCTTTTTCTTCTGATGTCCATCCTCTTTGCCTTTCAGGATTGGGATTGAACATTTTAGTTAGGGTCCTCTCTTTTGCTTAGTTTGTTTAGATGTACAGATTTGAGTGGGTTTATTCTATGTTGTATGTTTATATGAGTGAGTATATCCCATGCATGTCTTTTTGCTTCTGGGACAACTCACTCAGGATGATCCTTTCCAGGTCCCACCATTTACCTGCAAATTTCATGATTTCCTTATTTTTCATTGCTGAGTAATACTCCATTGTATAGATGTACCACAGTTTCTGCATCCATTCTTCAGTTGAGGGGCATCTGGGCTGTTTCCAGCTTCTGGCTATTACAAATAAAGCTGCTACAAACATGGTTGAGCAAATGTCCTTTTTGTGTACTTGAGCCTCTTTTGGGTATATGCCTAGGAGTGGTATGGCTGGATCTTGAGGAAGCGCTATTCCTAGTTGTCTGAGAAAGTGCCAGATTGATTTCCAGAGTGGTTGTACAAGTTTACATTCCCACCAGCAGTGGAGAAGGGTTCCCCTTTCTCCACAACCTCTCCAGCATGTGCTGTCACTTGAGTTTTTCATCTTGGCCATTCTGATGGGTGTAAGGTGAAATCTCAGGGTTGTTTTGATTTGCATTTCCCTAATGGCTAATGAGGTTGAGCATTTCTTTAAGTGCTTCTCTGCCATTCGATATTCCTCTACAGAGAATTCTCTTTTTAGCTCTGTTCCCCATTTTTTAAGGGGATTACTTGGTTTGCTGCTTTTCAGCTTGTTTAGTTCTTTATATATACTGGATATGAGTCCTCTGTCAGATAAAAGGTTGGTGATGATTCTTTCCCAATCTGTAGGCAGTCGCTTTGTTTTGATGACGGTGTCCTTTGCTTTACAGAAGCTTTTCAATTTCATGAGGTCCCATTTATTGATTGTTGCTCTTAGAGCCTGTGCTGTTGGTGTTCTGTTCAGGAAGTTTTCTCCTGTACCAATGAGTTCTAGGGTATTCCCCACTTTTTTTTCTAGCCGATTTAATGTGTCTGGTTTTATGTTGAGGTCTTTGATCCACTTGGACTTCAGTTTTGTGCAGGGTGATAAGTATGGATCTATTTTCATTTTTCTACATGTAGACATCCAGTTGGACCAGCACCATTTGTTGAAGATGCTATCTTTTTTCCTTTGTATGGTTTTGGCATCTTTGTCAAAAATCAGGTGTCTGTAAGTGTGTGGGTTTACTTCTGGGTCTTCTGTTCGATTCCATTGATCCACCATTCTGTTTCTATGCCAGTACCATGCAGTTTTTATAACTGTTGCTCTATAGTACAGCTTGAGATCAGGGATGGAGATACCTCCAGAAGATCTTTTATTGTAGAGGATTGTTTTAGCAATTCTCAGTTTCTTGTTATTCCATACAAAGTTGAGAATTTTTCTTTCCAGGTCTGTAAAGAATTGTGTTGGCAATTTGATGGGAATTGCATTAAATCTGTAGATTGCTTTTGGTAAGATGGCCATTTTTACTATGTTAATCCTGCCAAGCCATGAGCATGGGAGATCTTTCCATCTTCTCATATCTTCCTCTAATTCTTTCTTCAGTGACTTGAAATTTTTTTCATACAAGTCTTTGACTTGCTTGCTTACGGTTACACCAAGGTACTTTATGTCATTTGTGGCTATTGTGAATGGTGTTGTTTCTCTAATTTCTTTCTCAGCCCTTTTGTCTTTTGTATACAGGAGTGCTACTGATTTTTTTGAGTTAATTTTGTATCCGGCCACTTTGCTGAAGGTGTTTATCAGCTGTAGGTAAGAGTTTCTTTAGTAAGATGTGGTTTATAAATAATTTCTTCAGGGATGCATCTTATCTTTTAATTCTCATGGGTTCTTTGTAGAAAAGTATTTAAGTGAGGAAGCTTTTCAATGTATGAAAATTTCATTGTGTGGATATTTTTGGTGCTTAGTCTAAGAACAGTTCTTTAGAACTAAGTGTTAAGGTTCCTTTCTGTCTTGATAGCAATTTTATAGGTACATATTTAAGTCAATTGTATATTTTGAATTCATCTTATTGTAAAGTTTAAAGTTAGAGTAAAGGTTTTATTTTATGTTTTGGGGACTATGTTTATCCAATTATTCCAAGCATTTCCCCCTTCTTTTGAGATTTTTTTAAATTCTTTATTTATTTATTTTTTATTAATTACACTTTATTCACTTTGTATCTCCCCATAAGCCCCTTCCTCCTCCCCTCCCGATCCCACAGTCCCTTTCCCTTCTTCATGTATGCCCCTCCCTAAGTCCACTGATAGGGGAGGTCCTCCTCTCCTTCCTTCTGATCTTAGTCTATCAGATCATATCAGGAGTGGCTACATTGTCATCTTCTGTGGCCTGGTAAGGCTGCTCCCCCTTCAGGGGGAAGTGATCAAAGGGCAGGCCAATCAGATTATGCCAGAGGCAGTCCCTCTTCCCATTACTATGGAACCTATTTGGACACTGAACTGTCATGTGCTACATCTGTGCAGGGGTTCTAGGTTATCTCCATGAATAGTCCTTGGTTGGAGTATGAGTCTCTGGGAAGACCCCTGTGTTCAAATTTTCTGGTTCTGTTGCTCTCCTTGTGTGGTTCCCGTCCTCTCCAGCTCTTACTTACTATTTCCCACTTCTTACATAAGATTCCATGCACTCTGCCCAACAGTTGGCCATAAGTCTCAGCGTCTGCTTTAATAGTCTGCAGGGCAGAGGCTTTCAGAGGCCCTCGGTGGCAGGTTTCTAGGTTGTTTCCTGTTTTCTTCTTCTGATGTCCATCCTCTTTGCCTTTCAGGATGGGGATTGAGCGTTTTAGTCATGGTCCTCTCTCTTGATTAATTTCTTTAGATGTACAAATTTTAGTAGGTTTATCCTATGTTATATGTCTATATGAGTGAGTATACACCATGTGTCTCTTTCTGCTTCTGGGACAGCTCACTCAGGATGATCCTTTCTAGGTCCCACCATTTACCTGCAAATTTTTTCTTTTTAACTTTATAATTTTGAATACTGTAGTTATACAGTAAACATCCTCGGGTAAAATTAGTTGGCTCAATTCATTTTTTCTAAAGGTTCTATCTCTTGACATATTATTTTACATGAAATTCATATAATTTTAAAATCTTCTTGAGGAAGAGAATCCAGGCAGTCCTGATGGGACCTGATTGGCTAGGGTCAGACAATAGGGGAGAAGGACTTCCCCTATCAGTGGACCAGCGGAAAGAGATTGGGAAGGAAGAAGGAGGAAAGGTAGGACTGGAAGGAGATGAGGGAGGGGGCTACAACTGGGATACAAAATTAATAAATTGTAAATAATAATAATAATTAAAAAATTTAAAGATAAAATGGTAAACCATTATGTACACTAATGCTTGCGCACAATACTATCTTCTATTTTCAACAAATCACATAGGAAGGGCTTCTTTTATATTTTAGTTGTTTTTTTTCCAGAACTGTATTGCAAACAGTAGATAAAATTTGATGGTGATTCTGTAACATGAATGTATTTTTAACTTGAGTGGAGTAATTAGGAATTTATTGTGCCTCACTGTACCAAAAGATTCAATGATATTTAAGAATTAACAATTTTCCTCTTAGCTCCCAACTAAAATGCTAAGCCTTTGTAGGCATGAAAAATCATACTATACCTTGATTTCTTCTATTTCATCTGGTACTATCTTGTATGCTGATATAGTCCCACCCAACCTGAAATTAGGAGAAGAAAATATTCTTAAAACCAGCAACAGTGTAAAAGCACATGAATGATATATGCTATCAGCATCAGCGTGCCACGAGAAATTTCTGCAGACCCACTCAATAGCCATGGGGGAAAACATTTTTTGTTCCATTTTCCCATTTATTAGTTTAGAAGATACAGGCAACAAACAACTACCAAAAGAGAAACATTACATTGGATTTTATTATGAATTACACTTCAATTATTTATGGTTTTAATAACGCTGAAGCTGCCATGTTTATTGCTAGGTTCTGTCACAACATAAATCAAGAACCAAGAGCAAACCTGTTTTTATTTGTTTAATTAATGAACTTGATTTCTTGGAATCATTTAAGGTTTCTAACAAATGAACAGAAAGTGAAGTTAACATACCCTGTTCTAAGCTCCATTTCCTAGTTTTCTCCATAATTATTATCTTATGTCTGTGTGGTACAATTGTCACAACTAATGAACCAATAATGATTTTGCTTAATTTTTTTAAACAGAGTCTTAGAGATGAATGTGTCCAGCAGCATCAAAGGGAAAGACAAAATAAATTGTTAGTTACAAATAGTTTGAGCCTGTATATTTAAGTTTAAATTATTTCAAAACAAAATTTAAAGACAGTATCATTATAAATATAGTTTTAGTTTTTAAAAGAATTCTTAACAGTTAAAGCACTTAATTAAAATCAACACATGCAACAATTGTTACATAAATGGGATAGATTAGAGAAACAATTCTAATTTGTTATTCAAATGATTCAAGGATGCTATGGTGAAATGGTTGATAATGGAAAAAATATTCATTGCTTTGCTAAGATCAACTTCAATCCTATTTATAGAAGCAATTTCTTTTTCTCATGATTAATGTTAACAGTACCTTAGATATTTCAATCTGCTCCTATAAAGATGCAGGAAAGTAACTTTCCATTTAAGAACTTATATAACTTGAAACTGAAGGCAATGGTTTTGATCATAAGAAAGTAAGACAAACCATGTGACATGGCTGTTGCAGTGTGGAACATACACAGCACCGATGGATGCCTGCAGAAGATTGGCTCCTGCAATAATCTGTCATAGACAAGGAAGGAGCTCAGAAGGCCCCATTCCTTTCTAAGGAGCTTTTGACTCTTATTTGCTGTTGGAGGAAAAGTATAATTTTCTTTAATAGCATAGCTTATGGTAGAAGGAAGCTGAGAGAAAATGGAAGGGGAATACAAAGCATACTGGAGGGGGACAAATAAAATCACATAACATATATGTATAGATAACAACATGTATAGATGCATGGAATTGGCAAAAAATTATTTTAAAAAAGAAAGGAAAAAGAGTAAGTGTATTAAGTAATATGTATACAAAAACGTCTATGTATGTGAATATGTGTGTATATATATGTTCCAACTAGGACTAAAACCCAGAAGACAAGCCAGCCGTGGTGGCATAGGTCTTTAATGCTAGTACTCAAGAAACAGAGGAAGGTGGAGCCTGAGTTTAAGGCCAGCCTATTCTATATAGTTTCAGGACAGCAAGGGCTACAGAGAGAAATCCATTGCAAAACAAAGCAAAACAAACAACTAAAAGAAACCTATATGACAACAATACTTATGCTTATGTATAGTGTACTAATGAAGTAATAGCATAATTATAAGACCAAGTTGCCTATTTTAAAAAATAATATAGGAAGAATTGAAACAAAATATAAATGTTGGAGGATAATATTCAGTAACCAGAAGCAATTCAGAAAACCCACAGAAACAATTAAGTAATAAATAACTTATTTGTGTGTGGGGAATGAAATTGTTCAATAATAAACTTATTTCATACTATCCTTTTATTCTTATCTGCTGAAAGAATAAACTTATTTCCAACTACCCTTTTATTCCTATTCCCTGAATATATCCAGTAATAATGATTTTTAACCTTCGAACTAATTTCTGAAAATGCTATTTCTATTTTCATAGCATCATTTAAAATAGCCATACATTTTACCTAGTCTTAGTTTTAACATGTTATCATATCAGTTTCTCTACCAGTGCCTAGATCATAAAATGACTTACTCCGAACATCATAACCAAGGCTGTCCATCTTACTGAAGATAGAATAAACTCTGGAATCAGTACGCAAAAGCATTATACATTGGCAGCCACAGTGATAATAATAGCTTCAATACTACAAGTAGTACTGAAGTTTACCTTATCTGAAGTACACGTGACTATAAGTATTTCAGATAGCCTCTTTTTAGATTTTTTAATATTCTATATACATAACTTAGAGATGGGACCCAATTCTAAACAAAGTAATCATTTATATTTAAATTTTTTTAAATTTTATTTTTCTTATTAGTTACATTTTGTTAACTCTGTGTCCCAGCTGTATCCCGCTCCCTCATTCCCTCCCCAACCCCACACTCCCTCCATGGTCTCCTCCCTGCCCCTTTTCAAGTCCACTGATAGGGGAGGACCTCCTCCCCTTTCATTTGACCCTGTTTTTATCAGGTATCTTCAGGGCTGGCTGCACAGTCCTCCTCTGTGGCCTAACAGGACTGCTCCTCCCCTGGGGGGCGGGGGGAGGTCAAAGAGCCTGCCCTTGAGATCCTGTTAGAAATAGTCCTTGTTCCCCTTACTTTGGGAAACTACTTGGTTACTGAGCTACCACGGGCCACATCCAAGCAGAAGTTCTAGATTACATCCAAATTTTTTAAAGTACGCCTATTTATTTATGTGTGTGGGGGGGTAGAATGTATGTTTCACTATGGGCATGCAGAGGTCAAAGGACCACTTGCTGGTTTTAGTTCTTCCAACATGCAGTTTCACGGTGAAACTCATGTGGCCAGGCTGAATGGAAGATATCTTTGCCTGCTGAATCACTTCACTACACCTGTGTCTTATACTTAACTTGCACACATATCCTTTGGGTAATTTTTTAAAAATATATTTTTAGTGTACCTGCAAGAAGTCACATGGAATTTTTTGCTTAAGGAACCAGGTTGCTGTTAAAAATGTTTTAGGTTTTATAGAGTATCAGGTTCTAGGATTTTAGATTACAGATGCACAACTTGTATTAGTTTAATATGTGCAAAGCATTATGTCAGGATTTTAACTTATTTTATCATTTAATTTTCAGAATCTATATTAGCTCTTATGAGGAGAGATAAAAGGGAGAGAACGATCTAAATAACAAAGCTCAGTGTACTTGAATATTAGGAAAAGCTATCAAGTGAACTGAAAGCAACCAGTTATATAGGGATAATTCTAGTTGGGTATAGCAGTTTAAACCTATAAATCTCAGCACTCAAAAGACTGAGGCAGGAGGATATCAAAAGTTCAAGGGCAGGATGAGCTAAATAGTATCAAGCCAGTAGGGGCTGCAGAGTAAGACCCTTGCATTCCAAAACTAACAAAATAAACCCAACAAAACAAAATTAAAAACTGATAATTCTAGAAGATTTCTAGGGACATAATGACTTTTACACTAAGGGAAGAAAGGCATGGAGCTCAGGGACAAGATTAAGCACGTCTCTTAAATAACAGTAATAAACGAAGTTAGAACAACAGTTTTGGTGGAGTAGTGATAATTCAACTAGGGTTTGATGGAGTTCAAAAAGAATGTGAGTCCTTCAACCTAAATAATGAATGAGGCAAAATCATAGTCACTAGCATGGTATATACCCACTTATAAGTGGATATTAGCCTTTTAATACAGGATAAGCATACTACAATTTAGACATAAAGAAGCTAAGTAACAAGGAGGACCACAAGGAGGATGCTTAAGGAGGATTCAGAAGGGCAAATAGAAAGACACCAGAAGCAGTTGAAAAGAATGAGAGCCTACCATAGATGTCCTCTGAAAGACTCTACCCAGGAAGGGATTGAAGCAAATGCTAAGACTCACAGTCAAACTTTGGGCACAGCACAGGAGTCTCATGGAAGACTTGGGGTATAAAAGGACTTGGAGGGAACAGGAGCTCCTCAAAAAAAACCAATAAAGCCAAAAAAAAAAAAAAAAAAAAAGGGCACCAGAGGGAGGGGCCCTACAGAGAATAATACACCAACTGAGGACCATGCATGCAAAGGACCTAGGCCCCCTGCTCAGATGTAGCCAATAGGTAGCTCAGTCTCCAAGTGGGTCCCCTATTAAGAAAAACAGGCAATTTCTCAGACATGGATCCTGTTGCTTGCTCCTCAATCACTTCCTCCTGGCAGGGCAGCCATGCCAGGACACAGAGGACAAGGATGCAGGCAGTCCTGATGAAACTTGATATGCTGGAGTCAGTTGGCAGGGGAGAGGGCTCCCCTTTCTGAGGACTAGGGGAAGGAAATGGAGTAGGACAAGGGGTGGCAAGAAGGAGGGAAGGTGGGACTGGGAGAAAACAAGGAAGGGAGCTATGATTGGAATGTAAAATGAATAAATTTTAAAAAATAAATTTAAATTAAAAAATCAGAGCAAGGTATTACAAATATTGACAAGTAGCAAATTTCAGAAGGAAATTCTAAAAAAAAAAAGAACTTCAAGAATTTTCAACAAATACATTTTAATATGGGACAAAAGGCAAAGCAAAATAAACAACTGAAGAAAAAGTGATAGAAGAACAAGCCAAATTTAAAAACAATTAAGGGACAAAACAGAAGTTGAGGGGTTAACTCAGTGGTATCCCAATTGCCTACCAACTGCAAATCTCTGAGATTAGATTCTAGTACTTAAAAACAAACAAACAAACAAACAAACAACAAAAATTTTTAGAAAAAGAGCAAGAGTTTCAGAAAAGAAAAGAAAAGAGCAACAAGTCCAATATAAGCAATGCCTAATAAATCAATACTATACCTCAGGCTGGGGAAATTGGTCAGTATAGTGCTTACCTAGCAAGCATGAAGTCATGTGTTTAATCTCTAAGCAGGAAGCCCAGGGCTTGATTCCTAGATCCCGTGAACACAGTGTGATAGAACACAGCTATATTCCTAATATTCACAAAGTAGAACTCAAAGCCAGTC